TTTTTTTTCAAGTGTTATCTTTGCTAACTTGGTTTCTCAAAGAACGTTATTTCTTGCTGCGTGAAACCGTTGAATATGGCGTTCCTTTTCCTTTACTTCGTTTTCAATTAGTTGGGTTGGATATTTTTTTCTTTTTATTTCTAAAGCCTGTGCTTTGCATTTTCTTTCTTTCAAACCCCTGAAGAGATTCTAGAACTCTGTTTGCTTATCTAAATAATATATGATTGTTACAGTTGTTTTTATTTTGGTCTTTGAGGATTAATTTGTCTAAGTACTGTTTCGTAGCTGGTTGTTGTCATTGGTAGATCCGACTTCTTTCCATTCTTTCTGCTGTGTCCAACTGTTTATCTTACTTTACCGCTGCAGTAAGATTAGGTATTTCTCGTGGGTGGTTGGCGGGTGCTCTGGTGCGGTTTGCTTCTTCTTTCCTCTCAAACACCTATCGTCCTTATCTCCTCTCCTTCTTTTTTTATGTTTGTTACTCTCTTGTAACACCTCTCTCTTCTGGCGCTCATATGACCTTATGCATCTGTTAGCGCTGTAAAACCTCTACTAAAACAAAAACAAAAGATATTTCTCTGTCTTAGAATTACAAAATTGTATCTGACATTTTTGGCCGTTTTGACTTACTGAGACCGTGAGGTCTGAAACCAAATTAAGCTCTGTCTGTTCTATGAAATTGGTAAGACAATTCTGAGTCGTTATCAAGATATTCAAAGAAATTTCATTCAAAAAAGCTTGACGTGTTGTGAAACTCAAAACATTTTTACGGCAAATTTCTCAAAACAAGGTTCTGAGCAGATATAATTTTGTCATTCTAAGGTAGAGATTTTTCTCTTTACTCAAACAAACAATATGTTATGTCACGGAATCTAAGAAAGGCACGTGCAGATTTAGCATCAGGTATGTCCATGTTTGACTCCAAGTTTGTACTGTCATTGTTACAGTGCTTTGTTTAGTCAAAGATCATACATAACAAGATAGTTCACTTCACTCTTTGAGCCATTTACAAAAATGTCCTCAAAATTCGGTGGCGCCCTCTTCGAAAAAGTGCGGACTTTGCGATCAGAGTTACCCTACTTGTGTAAATAAAACAATAAAAAGTGAAACTAACAAACTGTTGTATTTCTATCCTTATTCTGGAGAAACGAAAGAGAGCTTCGAAATAAAGACTGCAGCACCATCTGAACCAATGCGCGGACATCCACGAACACTTTTTTGGCTGATTGAACTATCTTGTTACGTACGATCTTTGGTTTAGTCAAAGATAGTAAATAACAAGATGGGCCACTCAGCCAAAAAAAGTGTCCGCAGGAAGTGCGCTCTTTGCTTCAGATGGCGCTGCAGTCTGTTTTGAAGCTCTCTTTCGTTTTTCCAGAAGAAGAATAGGAATAGCACCAAAGATAGTAAATAACAAGATGGGCCACTCAGCCAAAAAAGTGTCCGCAGGAAGTGCGCTCTTTGCTTCAGATGGCGCTGCAGTCTGTTTTGAAGCTCTCTTTCGTTTTTCCAGAAGAAGAATAGGAATAGCACCAAAGATAGTAAACAACAAGATGGGCCACTCAGCCAAAAAAGTGTCCGCAGAAAG